CCGCGCGCCGCTCCCGCCCGCAACGGCCATTTGCACCGTGTTTACTATTATATTTATTGAACGGACGCTCCTAAGTGCCGATATAAGAATATTTACAAATCATAAGCACCCGATTTGGAGCAATTAGGTGGGTATCTGGCCGCCACTTCGCGCGGCCCTCGAGCGCTCCGAGTACGAACATTATACATCACTTTTCTTAACAACTGATTCGTCCGAGCTCTTAAATAAGCCCTTATGCCTTCTTATTCCAATTAGACAATCAAATTTGGTTAATTTTAGAATAATTATTTAGAAACAACTTATGTTATGAATTTTATTTTTGAATATTTGAATTTCAATAGATGCGAAATTTAACAAAACTTTGACAACGACCAAAATCTATTTTGTATTTTAATCCTTAACATCCATCATATTATTACTTTTACATTTCACAATAGTACCTAGCTACCATATGTTGTCCATTAATATGTTTTCTTGTTAAACACAAATTTTACTAGGTATAATTTGTCTTCAGCACATTTTTTACTGCCACTTATGGCACGAACATTTGCACTCCATAAAACGTGTTGAATTACATTTTGGACTTCGAAGGGCCTTCAACGTTTTGCTACATTTCTTATAACTGTCGTGAAATAAACTTTTATTTTACATGTACCATTTTGGATATTATCTCCGTAGTTTAGAATATTTCTGAGTGACCTGTAAACTAGTGGCAATGAGGAGCACAATAAAGTTTAATATAAAACAGTTTTTTACATTTGCATTCAGAGAGTCTTATTGTTTTTTAATGTTACCTAGCTCATTTTGGATAGTTATAGAGAATAGGTACTTTTATTTCTCAATTTTTTAAAGGAAAATATATTTCGCAGTAAAGAAATTAATTTCTCTATATTTCTACATACCTACACCTTCTTTGATTTCATAGGTACTAGTAGTCACCCAGTGGTCAAAATTCGACCATAATTCTTTTTTTTTTTAAATTAGGGTTCTTTTGTCAAAGACTATAGGTACGTCTAAAATCAAAGGTTCTATAATGTATTTCTAATACATTATATAAAAATAAAAGCTTTATGCACTTCTTTTCCTTATAAACTTTAGCTGTGCCAAATTTCACGTTCATGACACAAGTTTTCGCTTCATGTATTAATAGGTATATAGATATTCTTGTTATTATCTCTTCTTATTCTTAACAACATAGTTATAAGATACCTACCTAAGTTAGTGTAGTATCAGCATTTACGATGTACAGTAAGTTAAAAGTATTTGAACTAAATAGAAACAAAAGACATATTACTCGTATTCTAAGACAATACACCTACTTTTATAGTTTTTTTTCTGCACTGTATCAAAATAATTGTTTTCTTTATTTTTTTATCCCATTAGGCACGGCAGTGTCGGAAATACGGGGCGGTAATTATTTTTTATATATTTTTAACCGACTATAAAAAAGGAAGTTCTCAATTGACTTTTCTGTTTTTTTATGTTGTACGCGATGTTTTCATCATTTGTAAACCTATTTCACTTATCGAATCGTTTACTGTTCACACACCGTTCAAGAACGTACTAAAACTAAAATAAACTAATTTGTCTTTTTATTACTTTTATATAGGACTAGCTGACCCTGCGAACGTTGTTTTGCTATTTACATTATTTATTATTACTTTTTTTTTAATTTCGTAAAACCCGTTCTTAGCTGACCTCTACTCGGTGAAAAGAAAATTCCTACCAAATTTCAAGTCTTTAGCTCTAATGGTTCCAGAGATATCGTGATGAGTGACTATATACGCAATATATGGCAATCTCTCATATATATATAGATTATGGTGCATTAAGTACCTACATATCTGTTTTTTTCAATGCTTTTCGCACCATAAAGGCCATCGTTAGGCAAAGGCAGGACGTGTGTGGGACTCCCAGAGAACCGGTCTACCCACTAAACCCCTCGGCGGCTTAGCTCGGCAGCCGGAAAGAGCTCCAGGAACGCATTGTGGGCTTCTGGTGTTCTCCCTGCAGTACCCCATATTTGAGACACATCCCAGGGGCGGGACACTACCGCACCTCTCACTGCTCTACACAGTAAGAGGCGCAACAGCGCCCTGCCTTGGACGACACCCCCGGCCGCACCGGGGTGTCATCTGTCTTGGGTCGTTTGCAGCGGCTACATGGCCCCAAGATGTGGCCGCAGCGACCCTTAGGCGGTGAAATGGGGAGCTAGCGACCTCTGCCGCCTCCCGTACGCCGCTTCCTTCTGGAGCGTACCGTAATCTTCGCAGAAAGAGACTGCGGCTGCCCATTCTCCGCCACTCATTCCTGCATCCAGCATTGCCGCGATCAATGCTGGCGGTGACAGGTTTCTGTCTGACCAAGACTCAACGTTCGGACCCCCACGCATGGTAATCATCCAGCTTGTGCTGGGCGGAGTCCCGGTCAGACCCGCAATGGTGGCATTATGCCGTAACCTCCTGTCCAATTTATTCAGATACTCGCCAAAGCAATCGTGCCCGGTGAGCATCTGAGTCAATCGATAGGTGACACAGTCGTTCCTCCCTACCCACGCTTCGAAGCTAGGCATAACGGCTCCAACGGCGCGTTGGCTTGCACAGCCCTGGATTTCGAACCGTGCCTGCCAGGCTCCCAGAGCCTGCGCATGCGCGTTCCCCCTTAGAATTCCAGGCTCATGATCCGGCGCGGCTTCTTCGGCATTACGACTGACAGAACGAACTTAGTCACAAACCATGGCGTCCATGTCAAGAGTGGATATCGCGTCAGGACCGTCGCCGCCTCAAACGAGATGTACGATAGCCCGCCACGATCCATATGGCCATCAATAGGCAGGCTTCTGATTAAAGCCTTGCAGCGGGAGTCACCTGCCAAGTCATTAGACCAGACGGATGCCCCATAGAAGACCATGGATCGCACGACGCCCATGTAGAGGCGGCGAACTTCTTCCCGTGGTCCTCCGAGATTGGACAGCAGCTAATACAGCGCACGTCCCGCTACCCCCCGCACTCGGGGAACTAATCGCTCGAAATGCTTTTCAAAGCTCCACTGACTATCCAGAATGAGGCCCAAAGTACTTCATGTACCGGCCAACCTGGACTTCAGCGTCACCCACGTGGAGGCATGAGTTGGGTGGTTCCTGGCGCGTACGTAGGCCATGCAACCATATCGCCCAGTTTTCTGAAGCGCCACCCTCAGACCCAGCTCATAAATCTTTCCCACGACACAAACCACCTCATCGAAGTGTGAGGCGATGAAGACCTGAGACAAAGATGACACTGAGGCCAGAGGGCAGACTGGTGCGAAGGACTACATCATATGCGAGGTTTCATAACAAAGGGCCCAAAACAAAGCCCTGGGGAACCCCGCAACACACCTCTCTCCGATTTGCAACCCCGCTCCGACCGATAAACTTCACTCTCCTGTCGCGCAGATAGGCCCCAATAACGGCAAGTAAGTAGAGCATACCTCGTGAAACGATATGACGCTGCCTAGGATTCCGATACTGGCTGAGTCAGTTAGGGAGGTGCTTTTAAACCGAGGTGCTAATACCTGTGTCTTCTTTGGGTTAAAGTAGACTAGATTTAGTCGACCCCAATCTGAAACCTTGGCTAAGGAAGTTTCAATTACAGACTCAAGTTTGTTTCGACTCTCGATGACGTTTGCCGAGACATCTTGTGGCAGCTGGTATAAAGGGAATCTCCCGTACTATCATCCGCATAGCAATGGATGCTACTAGTTTGCAACATATCATTGATATGCAGAAGAAGCAGTGTGGGCGATAACACACAGCCTTGCGGGACACCAGAATTTACAGATTAAAAGTCGTAGCATACTTGAATGTCGGTAAGTCGTCAGCAATATACTTGTCACTACCTAGTGGAGTTGTAATTTTTTTTTACAAGGTATACATTCTGACAGAAAAGTAGAAATGGCGGTCTTATCTCTAAAAACTACTTTTTACAGGATACCTTTGAATGGACAAAGAAAAAAATAAATAGATTAATAAATTATTTAAATGTGAAAATGAAACGAATCTTAATTTTTTTAATAGGTACAAACAATTCAAATAAATAAATCCTAATCCTTTTTAAAATAAATAAAAATAAGAACAAAGTCTTGTTAATTAGTCTTTTCAGTCTTTAATTCGTAAAATTAATTACCTAAATAAGCAATTTGTGGCATCAATCTCTAAAATTTATATTTTTCACACGGCCTGTATGTCGCCTGTCACGTGTCTTTGCAAAGTGTCAGATAAAAACACCAATAACTGCTTAAAAGTGTTGCCGTTGCCGACTGTCATCTAAATTTTATTTTTCATTTAAAAAAAATACAACTCCCGCAATAGAAATGAAACCCTGTGTTGTGGGGGCTTTACAAACATTTATTCAACGTACACAAAGAACATCCAGGCTCAGAACAACAATTTGTGGATCACACAAAGTGTTGTCCCACGTAGAGATCGAACCCACAACACTCAGGTCAGTAGAAATCGGCGAGGTGACCGCTTAAACCACTACGCCATCCGCCACTATTATTCATTAATTTCGGCTAATGCTAATAATATTAAATGTGTGTTAAACGGAGAAGCAGACACAGCTGAATGAGAAGAAAAGGTGCAGAAGGAGAAGAATTATACTCGTATACACCCATAAGAAGCTGTAGATTAGTACACTTAATGCCACTTGGAAATTCCATGGCTCAAACGACATTTCCTGCCATTATCTATAAATAAAATGATTCAAATAAATGCAACACGAATCTGATTGTTCGAATTTTTTCACTATTTTAACAAAGAAGAAAAATTTATATAAAAAAATAAAAAAAAAAACAAATAGATAGGTTACCCCGTTTTTTATTTACAGTTACAAGATTATAAGACTCTGAATTCCCGCAACCAGTCAGAGTCAGTTAGACGGTTCGACATACAGTCATACGACCCTGACCTACTGGAACCTTCCCTCCTTTTCAAAACTTTACCTTTCAAAAAAACCCTTATTATGAGAATAAAACCAACATTAGCAGATATTTTTTCTGCTAATGTTGGTTCTATAAAGACTGAGCTTGCAGAACTGACTTTGCAGAGAATTCGAGGAGTGAAGAAACTAGCCTTTTTCCAGGCGTTTTTAATGATTATGATACCTTATGAGTATGATGATGATGTGATGCTGAATGGTAGAGAGTTACTACTTATTTTGACCTTTTCTGCACCATTACAGATGTACATCGATCCATAAAGCACAGTATACCATTATACTCATACATAATGTCCACGCCTGTGGTTCTAATTTATTAATGTAGATATCTTTTTTGTTGAACCTATCACCTAAAGTAGGCTCTAGAAGGATTGGCTATCTCTGTCTTTAAAAACAAGGAAGTGTTTGAAAAAAATCTTTATAATTATTTAGAACTTATTGACAACGTATATACGAGTACATTTAGGTATAATCTACGTGTTTAAGTTACCAAGTTTCTACCAATGATCTAATCTCTTTTTTTATGGTATAAGGGGGCAAACGAGCAGACGGGTCACCTGATGGTAAGCAACTATAATTAACTATCTCCCGTTAATTAAGATATTTATCTAACATAACCCTATTTACCTATAAAAAATATAATGCAGTGGAAAAATTAACTGTACACCAGTTCGAGAAAAAATATTTTTTCTATCGTAGTAATATTTTTTCTTAGCGCCATCTATTTAAAAGTTAAAAACTAAAAGACATCGCGGCATTGAAGGAGGAATTTCTAGCCAGAGGTGCTGCCACCTAGTAATATTTTCTGAAACAACTTTAGTTTGAAATTACTGCATTCTTGTTACACCTTGTCATATAGATGGCGCTATATTTCACTTTGTGTACACACTTTTAATACTTTACTTTATCTTTCGTTTTCTAAATTACGCCAGTGATCAATTCTAAAAGTAGTTAAAAGTCATAAAATTATTTTCAAAATGCATCATTTCTACGAACTTCTATTCTAAATTGATTTCATTGCTGCGTAATAGACTACCTTACCGACTTTGCCATATCCGGTTGGCGCTCGACGACATCACGCATACGCAAACTCCCGTTTGTGGCTAACTTCAAACCATAAATGTTCGATCTTTTTCAACTACATCGAGGCTTGAGCTTTTTGGGATAACGCTTTTCGGTAATTATTGTTTTACTCGTTGCATACAGTGTTACATTGATATTTCTAATTCCTCATCTACTTAGAGGTGAGTAGTACGTTATTTGGAGTGTACAGTGATCATAAAAGCGTTACCGTTTGGCGCGTTGGTTAGATTCTGTCAACATAGCTAATATAGTGTTCACACGCAGTAGTTTTGCACGTGTAATTACAATACGAACGTGATTTTCCATTTACAGACATGGCTTTGAGCGTTGCACTACCTCTAGTAGGCTTGGAGACAGAGAATTTTAACTCGTACAGTTCATTCGGGCATATCATCGACATAGCGGGCCTATCTCAGTCTCAAACAAGCCCCAGTCCGTCTGTCTCCAGCGAATCTAGCGGTATCGGGTCGCTGGGATCTCTAAAATCAGAATCGGTGAACAGTGACTCCTTGCCATCTAGTCCTCAGACAACAGAGAAGGTGAGTAAAATTTCGCACTATTTTGTTTGCATTCGTCCTGGCCTTGACCTCTCTATTTTCATAATATTCCGTAATGGCGAACGTCTATATTACGGTATCAATGTTGTGTACATTATCGACCTGTGATATAGGAAAGATTCGGGCACAGGTCATATGATAAATATAAATGTATCATTCCGATGTACCTACGCTCTACAATTATAGGTGTGTACTGTAATCAAAATGTCTACCTACTGCCGTTAGCTTCTTGCCAAAATTATTCTGCAAGTTAGATACGATGATAGTAGTGTTATTCTAATTATTTATACCTCTTATTGATAAAATTAATTATTGTTGTAGTATTTATGTTAATTGCGTTATGTTATGTCAATGTTTAAAATATTTTCAGAAAATATTCGAACCAGTTGTGCAACCCCAGCCACGTCCAAAGGAGAAGAAAGCTGACGATGTCAAAATCGCTTATGGAGGGCGTGATGTCCTCAACCTGATGGGCAATCTCACAGATCCGCGGTGGAGCTACCGCCCCACTGTTCTTCCACCAAATAACCCAGCGCTGTTCTTCGCCAACCGCTCCCAGTATCACCGGTTGGGCCCGTATGGAACTCGCACACAGTACGTAAAGGATACTTGTCGTCAATGCGGTTTCTCGTGGGTTGTGGCTGCCACAGATTGATGTGACAATTTGTCAGTGTAATTTCTGAACAAATGTTAAGTGGGTATGACTGGAACACATCAGGATGCATATCAACTGCTCTGTAACTTCAACTGTCACTTAGTGGTATTCTGTGCCATTAGTAGTTAACTGGTGACTTTGGTTCACATGTTGTTCATGGATTATTTGTGACGACTTATCATTTTTATAAAAATGATAAGAGATGTTTTTATTTTGCCCATGTTATCTTTTTGACTTAAGTTTTTATACATTATACATTGCTATCAAGTTAGTATGAAACGCTTTACCATGACTAACAACAAATTATTTTAGCAAAGTTCCTTTACTTGAACTAAAGCCAGCAGTATCTGTGACACTTTCCTAAAATATAGTTTGTTCATATGCTTACCTGTTGTGCTCCAGTTCTACGGATGACTGTGGAATATGTATGTGGCTATCGTCTCGCGCATTCGTGGAGTTACATTTTAAACGTGACTTAATACTGTGATCTTAATTTAAACAAGACATTTTTTGACAAATTCTGTGAATGGGACGCGTGACGATACATGACTATCATTTTTGTTTTTAACTTATTTAATTGTGTGATAAAATTAGGCTTAATTAATACTATGGACTTGCAATGCCATAAATATTTTTTCAGATTAATTCCAAAAAGCAGCATTTCTAGTTCCCAGTCTAATTGAAAAGACTAAATTGGATCAACTTAAATATATCTTATTCCAACAATTAAAACATCTTAGTAATATAATATGCTACATGTAGTTCCTTTTAGAAATGTTAATTATTTGTTATCCAAAGAATATTATATTAACTATAAATTGTTTACAACACAATTTATACTGATTAGTATAAACTACAAAGTGCTGAGTCATCAGCCTAAGGATTTTGTGTCCGATTACTTTTTAAAGCAATATTTAAATTATAGACATTTACTTATGATATCATAATTATGAGCTATTTCCCACCATTACATGTAATAGTTATTGTTTAAATATTGTTTTATAATATTCTTTAGTATCTAGGAGATAATTTAGATATATTCCACAGTCATTTATCAATAGGATCGTCATTGTTTAAACCAAAAGGCTGCTTCTCGGATGTTATTTAAATTTACGATTTTGACGAGATAGGCACGAATTTAAAGCCAAGCTGTAGGTTAATTTTAAGGTCTAATTATGATTGTTGGATGTACCGTCCGAGCATAACATAATAATAGTGATGACATATAATCTAGACGATACGATCTTGACACATTACCCTAAATCAATTTCTTATCAACTCAACTATAAGCTTGAACAACTCATTTGTAATTATATGTTGAACCCATGTGGAACATAGTCAAAATGGGTTATCAGTGCATATCATCACAAATTAATGCAGTGATTAGATATTCTAAGGTATTAGTAGATGTTACAGACCGTTTTAAAACGTTTGAGTCATTGAAATGCCCAGATGCTGGGTTTCTAGTGAAATTATACTAAGTGTCGTTAACAGACTGTCAATATCTCTATGTATGTGCATATATAAAATGTAATATTCGTGGTCTCTTAATTTAGTCAAGATATTTAATAGTGTGAGTCTCTTCAATTACATGTAAGTAATGTTTAACATACTAACTATAATGAATTATTGATACTGTCCTTTTGTGCAACTTTAGTTCTGCTATGTTGTGATCAGCTTTAAATTGGAACTGGAGTATTTGTACACAATAATGTTGACATATTTCCCACAAAGTTATTTTTATATAAGATGTTGATATCAAGACAATACAGTATGTAGTTTTCAAAATTTCCTTTATTATGGAGCTCGCTTAAAGGTTTGCCAACTATTTTGGAAGGGACCAACAAGCGCGCATTGTTTTCTCAGAACAATATTGTTTGTCAGCATAGAAAATCACATTTAAACAGTTTGTTTTTTGTGTTTCAAACTCATATTGCATTTGAATCAATGCTTTGTGTTAAATCCATTGCAAGCTTCCATTTCTGATTTTGTCTGTAACCAATTAACTGGGCTATGAACACAAATCTTAAGCAATTAGTTGAAACTTTACAAATATTTATTTATATATATGATTCAGTGGATAATGACTGAACATATAGCATGGATCTCAGAATGCAGCTAACAAGTGATACACATTCTTTATTGCCTCCAAAGGAAGCCGCCTCTGACGTACTGATGGCGAATGTTAAAATTTATTGATCGTCTGGAGGCAACTTTGTTTGCCTAGTGTGCTATATTCTCAGTCACACGGACTCACAAAATGGTTGTTATTGGTTATTTTAAAATCAAATGTTGCATTCAGATTATTTTTAGTTATTAATTTATAATATGACAAAGCTGCAATCGAATGTAGTTCAAAGAAAAGTATTTTGAGCGATACGCACAGTTTTTAGACTAGCTCTTGTTGTGAATGTCTCCCTAAGTTTAGTAGATGATTTCCCAAGCGAGCAACAAGAGAGGCCGAGGTGCGATGCAATATTTGCATTCCAGTTTTGTGTTAAGTTAGCAGCCGTTGGTAGTAGTTGTTAATGTTTATTTAATCCACATTGCCAAATATTTTGGTTGTTGTGCTATTTATTTAACAAAAAATTTAAAATATCAATTTAGTACCTTCCATTACTAAGTGTCTTCAAGTGATTTTACAATGTTTTAATCATTTCAATTATATGCATTTTATTTTGTTTAGTCAAATCATATACATGATATTATACATAATATTACCTATGTTGTATTATATCTATTGTTCATTCATATTATAAATATTTTTTTTCTCATTGAACTGTAGTCAAATGACAGTATTTTTATAAAGAAAATTGTATAAGGAAGAAGGGTTTTTTGCCTAGACGTGTGCTGCCGACGCCGCCCTGTCTCCTCGGAGGCGGGTGGTAAGGGGGCGCGCGTCCAGTGGGTATTACGTATATCTGATAAGCATTATGTAGGTTTAGCGAAATAGATTAACTCGGAGATGAACTCCAAGTACCAAAACTTATTGGTTTAATGTTGTTCTCGTATTATGGTGATATAGTGCGTCGCGCGCGGCGCAGAGCTCAATATTTTTAGTAACCCTTAAGAAAATTAATACCTCTTTTGAAAAAATATAATATATATTATATAGTATATCCAATCGATAATCACATATTATGTATTTCCCTGTTTATTTTGATGTGATATCATAAATGACTGATCTGAATTTAGTTTTTAAGTTGGTTATTGATATGCAGTGCTATTTCGAGAGTGTAATTAAGATTTAATATTGAAAGTGCCAATGCTCGTAATTTAATCTTTATGACTGTTCCTTTAACGTAGCTGTTGGTAAGGACCCGGCCTCGCCGGTCTCCCTACACCTTTTCAACTTCAGTATAAGCAATCTTCCTTTCTTAACTCTAAGTTTTCAATAATTGTTACTATAAAGCAATCACGTAACATGCACAATCTCAGTAATGCTTGCAATATTATGTGTAACCTGTTTTATTCCTCACTTATAATTTATAATCCAGCGTAATGTTAAGAGTACAATATGAGATGATGTTATATCATTCTAGTATCAAAATTAGCCGAAGACGTTTAATATTATTAGTTAGGTAAAATTTTAACATAGCTGTGTATAATTGGGATGTTTTAGTATTTAGTAGTGTATAATTACGGCGTAGTGGCAAGCAGTGTCTCGTGAATGAAATGAATAATGTTAGTGGCAATAATACTCTTAGTAAGTCCCTGCCAGAGAGTTGTACAGGGTCGCGCTGCCGCCGGCCGCCGGCCGCCCGCCCGCTCACCGACGGGCCGGCGCATACACAACTGAACGTTAGGAACTAGGCGTTTATTTGTTGTAATTATAATAATAGACGTAGGTATTTTATCGTACTTAAATAATTATTCTTGCGATGCCTTAATTCTGGTTGTCAATTAGACATGTCTCTGCCTAGAGTGTTATCATTGTTTTTATTTATTTTAGTTTTTGCTGTTCCGGCTTCCTCCGTGAACTTCCAGTCCAGGCTGTTCTTTTGAAATGATTTTGAGGTCGATTTATTTTTACCTAAGTGTTCTTATTAAATGTTACCAAAATGTTTTTAATAAAATATTTTTATAAGTAATCTGTTGTTTCACTAATTGTTATTTAAAATAGAGCTCGCAGTAGCTCTAGTAATTGTACACAAACGCCCACAAAGACCTACAAATAACTATGATGACTGTGCAGAATATAAATAGACTACTAACGCTTTAGTCCTGCGTAATATAATTTTGACAGTTTTACGTTAACAAAATTACATTGGTCACGTTTCTTTGCGTAAATATTAGTTTTGGGCAAATGGCCAACCGAAACAGATCCACTAACTAGAATATTATTAAATTAAAATTATAAATGTTTACTAACGTCACATACATCTGATCTTAGTACAATTTTATTAATTTACTTAAGATATGGAAGGTGTACACACCTACCATATCTTCCAACACTTCTCTGAATGTAGCTATAGCTAAGTACAAGATGTCGTTATACTAGAATTAGACCTCACATTTCATTATGACAGCTTTATTACCTGAACAAAGGCGGGTCTGTTGGTTTAGCGGTTAGTGACCCTGACTGCTAAGCCGGAGGTCGTGGGTTCGATTCCCACCCAGAACAAATATTGTGTTATGAACACGGTCATTTGTACTATGGGTGTTATTTATCTACAATATGTATGTATTTCAAAAGTGTTTATCAGCAGTCTGGTTAGCATAGCACAGGCTCTGCCTAGTTTGGGATTAGACGGCCGTATTTGAAATGTGTGAGGTATATTATTATTATAATATCGTTCTAGTACTAAACTGAAATTTAGTTAGTGAAAATCAAACAATCAGACGCATTTTACAAAGTCAAAGATACACCTACGTCATATAAAATTAATTTCAAAGAACGTTACCGATTTTAACGTCGTATTACCACTTCAACCGCGCCTTTCAACAATCTATGAATCTTAATTTACTAGGCTATGGGTAATACAATTAGTCAAAATTTGTCACTATTACGAGAGAATATTTCGAGTTGAAGAAATAAATACCCTCTTTGGTGTTTGATGTTAAAAATGAACGGGCCAGTTGTTCAAGTGGTTAATGATACTGGCTGCTAAGCTAGCTTCGTGGCTGTGATTTCCGTTCTGCCTAGTGCGGGTACAGACGGCCGTGTGTGAAATGTGTGAAGTTATTATTGTTATATGTTAGAGTGTTCTTGAAGTTATATCGATAATGTTGTTATCTTACTCGTGAAAACCTGTAATTGGCTTTCTGTTACTTATTGTTTTGCCTAAAGCTGTGACTCATAGCTGTTGGTGTTCCTTAAATAAAATAAATAAATTATCACTGACCAATACTGTTTTTTTTTATTATTTAATTCACAATAGTAACTTAGATCTAGGACTTACCTAAACTTTTTACTCGCCACACCTAATGCTTAACGGCGTAGACATAATGTTTTATTAAAAAAAAATTCCTTATCCTTCTAGTGATATACTTATTCTCAACAGCATATTTATATTGATCAGTATAGTAATGTTAACATAAAATACCATACCAATTGACATCGACATCATAATCGCAACACTACCGACTAAAGATCTCTGGTTAACCTGGTTTGACACGTGTGTTTAACTTATTTTTCATGGTAAGACTGATCTTACCATGAAAAATAAGTTAAACCTGAAAATATTTTTTTTACGTTTGGACACTCCCTCGGGCCGTCACCCCACCGGGGTTTGCGGTGGGGTGGTGTGCCGGAATTGCACCGACTAAAACCACACGGTGTGCCACTCTGCGCTTGTTGTAGGAGAGATCCGGGAACCGCTATTATTTTATATTTCACAAGGTACAACTAAACTAAGACTTGGTCATCGTTCTATGTCGAAGGCGCTTACAATGGGATGTCCTCAGGGATCGGTGCTATTTCCATACTTGTGGAATATCGGCTTAGACGATTTTCTTGCGATACCAATACCATCCGGATGTACTCTGAACGCGTATGCTGATGACGTCTTATTACTGGTGGAATCTGATACTAGGGCGGGGCTTGAGAGATTAGCAAATAGATGTTTGAACTTGATATCTCAATGGGGTGAACGTAATCGCTTAACTTTTGCACCCAACAAAACCTTCCAGCTACTTTTAAAAGGTAACCTCAAATCACCGCCAAGCATTAGATTTGACAATGTTACTGTAAAAAATAAAACGTAAGTGTGTTACCTAGGATTAGTTTTAGAAAGAAACTTTTCATTTATCGAACATATTAAAATAGTTAATGAAAAGTCTAAAAAGAGTTTCTGTGCATTGACAAGGATATCAACTGCGACATGGGGTCTATCATTTAATACATTAAAGATCATATACGGAGCTACTTATTTAGGTTTTATGTGCTATGGTGCACCTGTATGGGCCGATACGGCGACCGTAGGCGCTGTCCGTCGCAAACTGTTACAAAGCCAACGACTTGCACTGATATTCTTGTGCAAGGCATATAGGACGGTTAGTACTGAGGCTTTGCCGGTGTTGGCGGGTGTGCTTCCGGTCGATCTCGAGGTGCAGAGACGTGCCATGTACTATTCAAGACAACAAAACATGGAATGCGATTTTTTGGGCGCGCGGGATCGCGGTAAAATTACAAGATTGCTTCAACAGCAGTCCGATTTCTGTAATGTCGCGAACAGATGGAAAGAATTGGTAAAGATGGCGCCCCTTGGATGATTCATCCCAGCGTTGCCATTCGTGGACATATATACTTTTTTTTTGTAAATACATACATATTATACATAGAAACACCCAGACCAAATCAAACATTAAATGTTCATGCACACAAACGTTTGACTTGAGTGGGAATCGAACCCGCGACCTTTGGAATAGCAGTCCGCTACACAAAGCACTACGCCATCCGGTCGTCGATTACAAATTACAATTTTCTGCAGAGAGCGTTCATTATCTTAAACCAGATACGATAAAAGTCTAAGTTTTAACAACCGTAAACTTACCTACCTACGTTACTGGTTCACAATTTGGTTTATTGTTGTACTTAGAGAGATAACTAAAATATAAATAAGACAAGGGCGTTTTGTGATTTCATATTATAAACATTTTAGATAATACGTCTTTACCTATGAAATTGCCGTTTTGTATGCAATAAGTGAAAGTACTTATTTTTTCAAACTTTTTTATTTCTGTTATTCGAAGTAATCACCCATGCAATCGACGCATCTTTGCCAACGCATTGACAGTTTATTGATGCCCTTCTTGTAAAAATCAGCTGGACTCCCGTCCACGTGAAATCACATGACTCAAGATCTCCATACTGCTTAATAATTTGTTAAATATCACAAAATATTATTTTTGTTAGTTATAACATTTGATAAAATAACTCGGTTTAAACTTTGCCAACGCATTGGCAGTTTATTGATGCCCTTCTTGTAAAAATCAGCTGGACGGGAGGCAACAAACTCTTCAAAGGCATTTTGTACTGCCTCTCGGGAATTGAATTTTTTACCCACTAAAAAGTTGTCTAAATTTTGGAAAAAGTAATAGTCGGTAGGTGCAGTATATATATATATATATACCCACATAATAAATTCTAGAAGCGAGAGTAAAAAATTAAGGTAGACTTTAAAAGATTGCCGAGTTTTTGCACTCCTGATCTCGAGAGGGAGCGCCATAACAGGACAGATTGTACCAGGAAAGTAGAATGTACGAAGTCAGAGCGGTGAGTGGGACAGTGAAGAAGTAGGTTGCTTGAAGATCTAAGGGTTATAGCGTGGTTTGCACCTAAATATTGAAGTTGAGTAGGAGGGAGAACTTGGTGAAAAAAGTAAAGAATATACGGTACTGCGTCTCTCTGCGTTGGCGAATTGGCAGCCATTCCAAAAGAGAGCGATGCTGAGACACATGATCATATTATCGTAAATTGAAAACTAATTGAAATTTTATATTGTTAGAGTCGGTAACAACTTAAAACACTCCGCTATGAGTGCACTCATAGTAAATAATATTTAAACTTGCTGGTGCTGGCCACTTCGTATACACAGAATGTTTCTTAAACAATCTTTTATTACCTATTTTGCCCGTTTTAAAGTTCTTTATCATTTTTTTTACAGGATTAATATGGAATGACAAATTATAATACCATCGTTCGGCCCTATTCCTTAGTTAATTTGGGATCAACCCGATATCTTATTTTGCAAAAGGCATTGGTACATGATGAGCAACTAGGATAAAAACGTTAGGTAAAGGATACCGCAAGTGCAGTAGGGTAATCGGGATTGGATTGTGTCATAAAATAGATAAATTGTAGTAGGTACTTCTACAAGTAGGTAGGTAGTAGATAGTAGCTGAAGTCGCATGCCCGTTCGCATTCCCCAGCGGGTCTTTTAGTAAATTATGAATTTTAAAACTTCATGACTCGTATAGTGTGGATCAAGTGTTTCGGCGTCCCGAATTGTGTCTTTTAACGTTCACTTTTGGGTTGTTTTAGTGTCCATAAACGTTTATTTTTTAAGGGGAAGAACCCTGGCCGCGTGCTGTGATACATTACCCAATAAGAACAAACTATAACTTTAATATTAATGCCATTGGCAGGTATTGTACACGGTACTATTATAATACAGTATTGTAACTCGGCCGCATGATAGAAATAAATGCCTACAGCCGCGCGGTACGTAAACATGCGTTAGGGCTGCCCGTCTCCAGCATTTTAGTGATATTTGCCTACTTTCTGTTTCTATTTAGATTTGTGATTGTAAATATCCTTTTTATATAAATAAATGAAATACTTTGTATATTGAATAGGAATTGTTCAATAAAAATGCGTGTTGTTTTTTGATTGGTAGATTTAATTAAAAAACATTTTTTTGTTTGAAAAACCAATCGGGCTTATAAATTAGCGACCGAAAAAAATCCTTCTATAAAATAAAATAAATGTGCTTTCTCCATACGCGTTACAAAACTCCAATCCTTAGAAACTCCAACACCTACCACCTACTCAACTAGAATGCAAGAA